AGCCAAGCTGCAACAAGTAACAAATTATACTTCGATGAAAATTACGAACGTCCCATAGCATTCGAAGAATACTACGAAGAGTCGCGCTGATGTACGTTCTTCGGGACGTAGGCCGAGATAACGAAGTCATCACGTCAAGACGTCGATGTATTTCAGACTGACGTAATGAAAGCCAAAGGCATAGGGGGAATCGGTTTGGAAAGAAGTCGACCACGGTCGGGGCATTTCGGTCTGATCCGCATTGCCTCGCGGCCGCGTGTCACTCTTTTGTCGTTTCAAAGCTGTCTCTCTCCCGCACGGCGTTCGTCCATTCTCCGCCTCTCTGTTTCTTCATTCGTCCCATTAGAAATTCTAATAAAGCCGTCTCAGGTGTAAAAAACGTATCGGGACCCCCATGAATCACGTGTCGCAAAGCAGAGCCGCCAGGACACGTGTATCTGTTATGCCTTCCTCTCCGCGACGCGAAAGGGGATGCTTTGCGCGGCGTTTTCTTCTCCTCTTCCTTCGCCAGCGGTAATATTTGCCGCTCGACCAACCAGAAGTACTTTGGGGAAGTAATCATCGTCGTTGATAGCGGGTTTTAATCAACGAATTATCATGAAGTACATTTCTTATGACTTGCAAGTAGGAATGGGTTGAAGTGACTTGTAAACTACGGATGAGAATGGGTAGGTAAATCTGTGTAAAATATGTTCAACTCTAGTTTGGGTAATCATTTCTATATTTTTAAATCTCTTTTTACAATTTTCCTCATTTTTTACAAATAATAAATATATGATACATTCTTACGCAAAAGTTGTACAGAGTTGTACATGTTAAAGATTGGAATTTATACAGTTCTGTTTCTCCACTGGGTCCAAATATTTCACATATGCTACACGGTATTTAATATTACATTATATATGTACAATTGTTTTCTTTTCTCTTTTGAAACTCATATTTGTTGGATAACTACAGTACCGCTTGGCACAAGAGTGCAAATACTTTACATATGCTACACAGTATTTAATTTTACATTATATATTATATGTACAATTGCTTTTCTTTTTACTTTTGAAACTCATGCTTGTTGGATAACTACAGTACTGCTTGGCACAAGGGTACAAATACTTTACATATGCTACACAGTATTTAATTTTACATTATATATGTACAATTGCTTTTCTTTTTACTTTTGAAACTCATATTTGTTGGATAACTACAGTTCTGGTTGTTCACAATGGTTTAAATATTTTGCATATGCTACAGAATATTTAATGCTATATTACATATTATACATGCAACTATATTGTATACTCTATATTATATAATACATTATATGGTATATTATATAGTAATAGTATGCATTATATAATTATGTAGTATATGTACAGTTGTTTCTTGTTTTTTTATTGATTCAGTTTGCATAGGATATATTAATTTCAATTCGCATGAACATATTGAACTTGGTGGCATCCTCAGTTATACAACACGCTAGAGACCAATGATACAATGATTCGTGCAAGTAAGTTTAGAAGGCAGTGGTTTAATGTAAGTAGATCTTGTCGTGGTTGTGCGCCTGTCACGATGCTCATATATTAAACCCCTGCGTGGACAGTTTCATGTGTTTGTATAAATAAGGGTTGCCAGGTCAATGGTTCTCTTTTTGTCTTTGGCGGATCTGTGGGTTGATGCTTCTTGCACGGTAATAAAGATATGTAGTTGGAATATAACCTTTGAGATATTCCTTTCTATTGATTATTAACACTTAATATGATAGGTAATTTTAGATCGGTAAATACATCTGAAGGAATTTTGTCGATGAAGGTAGTCTAACCTCAAAATCTGCGTCAAATCGTGAGACATTTCAAAATGTAAAAAGATTCATGATTAATAAAAAGTCAATATATAACTCTGCTTGAATCGTTAGAAAGGAATTCTCCCTCTAACAATTAACAATTAACAATATAGATATATATAACCTAATATATATATATAACCAACAGATAATAATAATAAACCAACGTATATATTGGCCAATATATATATACATATATTATTATTATTATTATTATATATATATATATATATATTGACCAATAATAGCCGATATATATAACCTACAGATAATAATAGTTAAAGTAAAATACGCCGGTATATTGTTTCATTCATAATACGTCATTTTCTAATCAGGGTTTCGAGCCAGAAGAATTGTAACAACTCAATTATTTTCATAGAGCTACTTTCAGACATATCC